TATATATATATATATATATATATATATCCTATATAATATAGAAATTTCATGTGCCATTGATAATAGAAAAATAACTCATTGGGGGAATTCCCTTTTAACTTTGCAACTACATAATCTCATTGATACTACGTTTTATTTGAAACTATATAACAGTGACAGTTTTCAAAGATCAAGCCAATCAAAATGAGCGAAGATAATCGTTTATGGGTAAATATAATGTTCAATATTGAAATTTTTATATAGATTTGAAATAAAGATATGCACCGTTAAATTTTCAATCATTTAAAAATTACTTACATTACGGCTAATTATATGTTCATATTCATTATCGTACTTATTTATTTAATTTACTCAAAACATCTATACTTAAATAGTATAATTATTTTATATTCTTTGGATAGTTTATTACATGTTTTGTTCTATTTTGAATAGCACGAAATGGTATCTTATGCCATTGAAATCCAACAAAAATATTATGAGCTTCTTTCTGATTGGACTAAATATGAAACGCAAGATTATGATATATTAAAACAAAATATTGGTTATGCACTATTTGGCCCTCCCACTGAATTATGCAAAGTTGATAATAAGGAAAACAATACAAATGATTTTAGCTCGGTGGTAAGCTATGTTTCAGAAAATGCAGAACAGTTAACTAAAGTCAACGAAGGAGTACACTATAACAAAAATGCTATGGAAATAATATCCTTAATATTTGATCAAATAATGGAGTATGGTAAGCAGTCGGATGGGAGTATTTTTGTCGGAGTCATTTATAATATTATATTTAATGTACCGACAAAGAAAACAAAAGAAAGTAATAAAGATAATGTAGATATTGATACAGAAGAAATCATGAAAGAAATTCAAGCTGTTCCAATATTTAAAATAAAGAATTATTGTCTAAAGAGTTCATCTGAAAATATTGAATATATAGACAATAATGGTAGAGTATACATAGATTGGATCAATTATAAAACTTGTAATACCTTGCCTGCTTGTGTAATGGTAATACCTTATGAAGGCTTTTACCAACCAAATCCTGAATTGGAAATAACAGAAATATGTTCTAAAGTATGGGTAGAAGTTTGTTTTTCACCAGCATCTTCGTTAAGCGCTCAGGTAGTTAACACTGCAGATTATGCATCTAGCATTTTAAATGTTGGTGGTCTTGGAATTACCCTTGCATCGATGTTTACTCCTATTGGACCTGCGGTTGCATTAGCAGGTAATATAAATATTAAATTAAAATCTTATTATTATAATTCATATTTCTAAATTGTTTTCAATTAAATATAAAAATAATTTTTCTTTAAATAGGAGTAGCAACGACAGGTGTTACTAGTGCTTGGTCCTTTGGCAGATTTGTATATCAGTTATATGATCGTAGATGGCACAGAGAATCTGTTAGTCTTAGCAACAGCAATGCCCTTTCAGCTTGGCTTGGTATTGCTGGATGTACTGCTGGATTAGCAGTAAGTGGTGGAAAACTATTGCTTTTAAGAGCTGCTCAAGCTGGTCGAGATATAGGATTAGCTGCTAGAGCAGTATATAATACAACAGTAGTATGCAAAATGTCAATTAATCTCATTGGTATAGGATATAATGGATATAATATTGTCGATAAGTATCAGAGAAAGAATAGAGTCAATTTGAAAGATATTTTCTTCTTTACAACACATGTAATGTTCTTTGGTAATATTATATTAGACATAAAATTTGCCTATGACGTCATTAATAGTTCTCGAGGTAATGTTATGAAAGATTACGAAGCTACTTTGCGAAGTAAACGTCATCGTAAAGCGTATAATCGTATAAAACGTAATGCAACATCAGATGCAAAAATAGTACGTTATATTAGAAAAGTTCAAACAAGAAGAGAACTTTTGTCGTCTGCGAATAGTAGTCAACCAAGTGGTAGTAAACCGAATAGTGGTCAACCAAGTGATGGTCAACCAAATGGTGATCAACCAAGTGGTAAACAACCAAATACTAGCCAACCAAGTAGTAAGCAACCAAATGGTGAACAACTGAATGGTAGCCAACCAAGTGGTAAGCAACCAAATGGTGAACAACCGAATAGTAGTCAACCAAGTAGTGATCAATCAAGTGGTAAACAACCGAATGGTAGTCAACCAAGTGGTAAGCAACCAA